ATCTCAGTAATCCTGTGTTCATCTTGCAAATTTGGTTAAATTCCAGTATGGGAAAGAAACAGAAGTGTAGTATATCTGTAGAAAGGCAGATACGGGGTTTCTCCAGCCAAAGCAAGAACTCAGGAGTCAGGCACATTCCAATCCTAATGATGAGCCCAAACAGTGAGGATGAGATTTTTTTCCATCTACCTTTATGCAGCTGTGTCACCTTCCTGCAGGGCTCTATGCAGAAGAAAGTTATGTCTGTGTGCCCATTATTAAACATGCAAATGAAAATGTGCAATAACTGTGGACATGTGAACATTTGCTAGGATAACTAATACCTTAATTCTTATTTTCTTGTTTCCTAGGTTCAGTGTGGCTGCACTGTATAATGGGAAAGACAACAAGAAGCTCCCGTGTCAGATTCTTGGGGCTCCTGCTGTAGCTCCACATCCAAATCAGAGGTAAGCACTCAAGTACAGCAATAAATAGTTGGGAGTAATGTGTGTTTGTCCACATTATTTGTGTTTTAATATCAGTCTCCTTACCTGAGTTTTTATTTAAGTTTTACAGCAGCCATGAAAATACAGGTGCAGAAATAGAACATAGGCCCTTCCAGGCTCAGAGACTTTCAGAGAGAGGTAGGAAGCCACAAGGCAGAGAGGAAGGAGAGCTTTCTTCAAGTTTCTAACTGTGCCAATCATTCTTAGCCAAAGATTTTGCCTCAAAGTAGCTGTTTATCAGACTTATTTCTGATACAATTTTTAGAAGTCTATATGCTGTAGTGATTAACAAAATTCCAAGTCTGATTTTATTAGGTGAAGGACAAATATTGGCAAATAAATCAAAGTACGTACCTTTATACACCAAGGCACATTCTAAAACCAAAGGTTTTGTATAATTAGACTGCAGGGGAAAAAAGTGCCATTCGTACTCCTTCAGCAAAGGAAACATATCTGCTGAAATTCCAGATGGAGCCTGTTTGGGGGCAGAAAATCTCATTCTCAGAATAATCTCCATTGTTAACCCATGTGCCCAAGGCACCATGGCTATGCTATTTCACAGAGGAGCACAGGATTTATGTCCTAATACAGTATACAAACTGTATGAGACAGAAACACGGGGAAATTGAGGTAAGTCTGAAAGAGAAGTATGACTCATTGTACAGCTGAAATACATATTGGAAGGGAGATTGATTTCCACAGTTCAGTCTAGACATATTCAAGGGCCAGAAAACAAAAGCTGAAGGAGTAGAGACTTGACATAGCAAGGGAAAGCAGCCAAGATGCTCTGCACAGCACATGTACCTAGTGTGAGATGAGCAAGTGACTGCTAAAGGGGCTGTCGGAGAAGGCACTGTGAGTGCAAAGGGGCAGCTCAGGTTTGGGGGGTCACTGAGCTGTGTGAACAGGGAAAGACAGGAGAGCAGCTTGCCAGGAGTGAGCAGCTCAGTGTACTGCTGAAGGCAGAGTTTGGGGAGGGACTGTGCAGGGCACAGGAGTACTTGTAGTGGTAATTGGGGATAATTTGTAGCATGGTCTATGCTGATTAATTGTTGTCAACTTTCTTGTATTCAAATTGCTGAAGGTGAAGACTGTGAAGTCACACCTTAAGTAATAAAGCCAAAAACATTATTAAATGGCACATTAGTGAGGCCCTTTCACAGGTTGCCCAGAGAAGCTGTGGCTGCCCCATCCCTGGAAGTGTTTAAGGCCAGGTTGGATGGGGCTTAGAGCAAACTCAGATAGTGGAAGGTGCCCCTGCTCATGGCAGGGGGTGGAACAAGATGAACTTTAAGGTCCCTTCCCACCTAAACCATTCTGGGATTCTATGATTCTGTGATGAATAATGCACTGAGAAATGCACCAAATTAAAACTGGATAATCATTAGTGAATTTAATCCTGCTGTTGTTCAAAGCAATAGGTCTGTCCGGATAGACATGTGTTAACAAAACTACCTCTTCCTGACAGCTTCCTAATTAAGAGATTGATGTCAGGATCAAAGGGTTTAATTTGCACATGGCACTACCTTTCACATTTTCTCTCCAGCTAAATCAAAGTGGCCTTGTCATTTCTGTATCACCAAGTCCTAGATGCCAAACATCACTTTATGTTAAACTATTATTTCTCTGAGGTTTCTGAAGGGAGGTGGATTGGATGTAACAATTTGCAATTTAAACTGTTCATTCAGCAGCCCTCCTGCCTACACTAACCTCCTTCCCTTCTCTAAGCAGATTTGTAGCTCTAAGTCACTGATGTCTGTTAACTCTGAAAGGTGCAGTGCAGGGAACAAAGCAAACTAAAGAAGCAGTACATACCAGCAAAGGATTTCCAAGTGCTTCCCATGGTTTTCTTGAGCATTCTGTCCCTCAGGGAAAGGCTTATTCCATTCCAGCCAGTTCACGGTGTTGCCCAGGGACACAGACTGGCGGGGCTCTGGGATCTGTGTCATTACACACCTTCACACACGCCAAGTGTGCGCTGCTTACGCTGCTTGGTAGAAGACAGGTCATTCTCCCCCACTGTGCAATCCCATTATGGTCTGACTGTCACTCCATCCTTCCTCTTGGGAAGCAGCCAGGATGGCATTACAAGAGTATATTACAGGCTGATGTCTGCCAAGCTCTGGCTCATGAGGGACAAAGGCATGTGCACAGCAGAGTGCACAGACACGTTACCTGCAGAATGGGGGTCAGGGCTGAGGCCCAGTCATTCAGCATTGCTGAGGTGAGGTTATTTCAGACATAGGTGCCCCCCCTGCTGTGTGGTGGATGTGGCTTGGGGTTAGAAGGTTTCTTTTCAGAAAGATGGGAATTCATAACTGTTAGGAAGGAACCTCTGTGCCTTCTTTCGCTTTCACTAAATGCACAAAATCTCTATTCACTCATCAATGCAGCCTCATTGCTGCTGGAATTTGGGACACTCCCTTGCTATCACTGCAGAACACGACACATATTTATAAAAGACTAATTTCCAAGGCAGGCTACCATCATACTCTGATCCTGCATGGGACCCTAGTATGGGATAGACTACTGTGTTTTCTAGGCCCCTTGGTACAATTTCTGTGTACCTTTGCACACATTATTCAACCTTTTTTTTTATTAGTTTCTATTTATGTTTCCCCTTGTCCATTATTTTCTGTTACACTACTCCCAAGTTATTTCCTTAGTGCTTTTTCTGCAGAGAACTTTATGTGTTGTGTTGCAAAGTTGTCATCCTGCTGACTCTATTTAGTCAGTTGTATAAAGCCATTCCCTTTCTTTATGGAAGTCAGACAAGTGGAATGACCTCCCATCACATACTGACAACACGTGTGCCTGCTCCTTCCAGAAAAGATCTAAGTGAAACCACACCATGCAAAGACCTAAAAGCAGTAAAAGTCATACAGAAGCAGGAAAAAAGGACGCAATAGCATCAAGAGTGTACTCCTGAGGATCCCTGAGGGAATGGGGGCAATCTGGAAAAGACCTGTAGAGCTGTAAGCAAAGAGACATTTTATTTTAGGTATCCTGCTTTCGGGGGAGAAAAAATGTTTTCTGCGTTTTTGCTAAGAATATAGGATTGTATCCAAGAAACATCTGACTTCACTGTTGATTTCTCCTTCTAAGTGAGATGCTGTAGAAGATGTTGAGTAATAACTGAATCCTGAAATCTCAGCTGTGTTTAACCTGGTACACTGAACTCCCTGCATTATAACTGTGCTTGCTTCTGGAGTGTGTTGGTTAATAACGGCTTAACCTCCCTGCCATCCATTCTAAGGTGCCTCTAGCACAGAAGAAATAGGCTCATTTTGCCCAGAATAATCAACTTACTAAATTTTGATGTCCCTGAACAAGAGTGTAGCATGTAGGATTATAAAAATCAGTGCCATTTAGAAATATGCCAAATGACATACACAGCAGTTTTCTGTGTCTCACATTGATCTGTACCCTCCTAGAAAATGAAGACTGAGGGGCAGGAGACCAGCACTGTACACATTTATTAGACTTTCCATTTTGAAATTATGCATCAACGATAGCAGTCATCACCAGTAATCACCTTCTGACATATCATGGGCGTGCCAAATACTTGAGTAGTTACACTGCTCAGAGGATGAGGGTTACTGAAACAGAACACAACAATCCCTGGAAAAGATGGGGATTGTTCTGCCCCAGTGTTTACTCCGGAAGTCACCATCACCCGGGAGCTCAGGGCGAACTTCCAGTCAATCCTGAAGGCTAAATCTGGAGGAACCACCCACACATGAACTAGATTGAACTGCAGCTTCAGCGAGGACAGTCAGACCTAAATTTGCTGGGACGGCTATTCCTCCCTCTCCATGGCCGGTCCTGGTCCCTCTCTGGGCAGCGCTGACACGGACACTGCTGGCCCCCACTGCCTCATCCAGAGCCCACTTGTGTGCGTGTACCTGAGCCCTGCTCCTGCCCTGCTGCCTTCTTGTGGAGATGCACGTTAATCTTGCTCACTTGGTTTGTAGGGAGCAGATAAATCTACCTGTTATTTAAATGACAAAATCTATTCTACTCTAGGTGACACTGTGGTTCTCCCACCCATTATCACTGTGGTGATGTGCCTTGGTCTGGCAGAAGGGAGATGCTGGGATCTCTCGTGTAGCTCAGGGCTGTGGGCTCGGCCAGCCATGAACGCTGTCAGGAGTTGGTTCGGTCCTGGAAATTCCCCCAGGAATTCACCCAAGGAAACCCCTCAATCAGGATCCCAGCCGTGTCACACTGCAGCTGTGCACTGCCCGCGGTCACGCAGGGGCTACAAACACCCTTTTTTCCTCAAAGGCTCCTTCAGTTTCCCCAGCGCTTCAGTTATCAAGCTGAAATCAAACGATATTCTACGGGTGGGGGGGGAACTCTGGGGGGAGGAAGCCATAGCGTTTAGTTCGCTGTGATTAAAAATGACCCGGCCGGGCGGGGTCGCGTGTGGGGACGTTACGGCCCCGGCGGCGGCGGCGGCCCTGGGAGGTCTCGCGAGACCCGTCCGGCGGTGCGCGCGGGGCGGGGGCGGTGCTGAGCGGGGAGGCGCCATCTTGTTCCTGTGTGAGGCGGCGGGGCCGGGGCAGCGCCGAGGGCAGTGCCCGCCGCCAGCCCGGGCCCGGCATGGACACCGACTACTACGGCGGGGAGCAGTCAGGTAAGGGCGCGGGGCTGGCACGGATAACCATGGACACACACTATTACGGCTGGGAGCAGTCGGGTAGGGGCGCGGAGCCGGCACGGACACCATGGTCACAACTGTTAGGGCGGGGAGCAGTCAGGTAGCGGCGCGGGGCCCTGCCGGGGAGGGCGCCGGGCACAACAGGGCCCGCGGGTCCGGAGACTTTAACAACCCGGTGTCTGGGCAGTGTATCAGTCGCTGCCCGCATGGTGTAGATGGTTTTGTGCACTCTTTAGGAGTGTCTGAGGTGGTTTGTTCGGACCCGAGGTTGTTTCCCCTCCGCGTTAGAGCGGGAGCCTGGACGGCTCCTTTAAATGCTGCGAGGCGTCACTGAGTTTTACTTTCTGTTTTTAACTTGGGGATAGATGATGGAGGAGCTACTCCAGTGCAAGACGAGCGAGACTCGGGATCTGATGTGGAAGATGAAGGAAATGAGCAGCATTCTGGATCGGAGAATGGAAGTGTAGGGCACCATTCAGAGGTACTGCGGGAGCTTTATCTAGATAAAAGTTTACTATTCTGTCAGTTCTCTTTTGTTGTTGCTTAAAGAGGCATTATCTCTTAACCCAGACATCCATGTTTTATTCAGTTCTTAAGGGTCCCATCTGGCAAAACTTTACCTCCAGAAAAAAAGTTGGATAATCTCTTAACCGGTATGTAGGATAGGGTGTTTTTTTTCATTTTTCTTCTTAATTGTTTTAATAGCACGCACTGTTTTGAACTTGAATAAGTTTAATATTGTTATACTCAATTGCACAAAGATAACATTTTTAGGTTTGAAATTCTAAGCCGTGGATGATGAGAAATTGGAAGTTGTACCTGGAGTTCCACACAGTGATGTAAAGCCACGCGTTTTGCAGACATAGATTTCCTTGCCAGAGTGTAAATGCTCTCCCAGCTTCCATCTCAGATGGGGTCACTGACTCTCAGGTCTGTTTTGTGCTGGTTTTGTCCCTGTCATTCCCAAAAGAGCAGGTTAAAGGTGCGTGTGGAGCAGGTTAAATGGGACCTGTTCTTCCTCTGAAGAGGTTCTCACTTGAAGAAGCATTCACTCTGCAGAGCCTTTGGTCCAGGGTTGTGTCTGAGGGAGAGTCACTTCATTTGTGGATTGACTGTTTTGGTTGAGAAGAGATTCTGATAAAAGTGAAGGTTACCTTTAGGTTTCTAAGACAGTTTGGTAGTTAAGATTGATTTTAAAGATTTTTTTTTTGTGACTCACAATAGAGCTGCTTCAAGTCTTAGTAAGGAGGAATGTGAACTCATGTCGTCCACCAGCAAAGTTAGGGAGAACTTTTTGATGCTCACAAAGCCTGTAATCAAAGTTCATTGTGTTCTGCATAGTTTGTTGCATTTTATGTAAAGATAAGGATTTACTCTGGCCGGGTTTTCAGTGTTATACATTTTAAAAGTTGCTTAAAATGTGACGTAGGCTGATGTGTCAGAAGGCTTGATTTCACTGTGGTGTAACTTGCAATCCTTTTCTTTTCCTCCTGGCCTTTATTGAATTCATACTTCCCTCTGAGTTAGAAAGTAGATGAAGATTTTGTATTTGTATAAAAAGAAAGTTCTTTCCATGTATTTGAACTCGAGTGTAAAGCACATTTGGAGTTTAGTTCTTCTTAGAAGGCATTGATATTTACAGTGGAAGAACAGATTTGGTGTGAGGCAGCATCTCCCACTGTGGGAGAATGGGAGAAGTAACTGTCTGTCAGAGGGCTTTAGTACTTCTGTTTTAATGAAAAATAATGACTGCATGGAGAGTCATGGTGCTGCTACAATAATATTAAACTTTTTCTGCTGCGTACAAAAGCTTGATCGTTGGTTCTGGCTTTTCTGTGCTCATCTGGGATTTAAATTTTATTTACTGTGGCAAAGTAACTTGCAATCTCTCCAAAAGAAGAGATAGTTGACTGTTGTTTAAATTTGCAGTGTGTTTCTTTCAGATTTCAGTAACTGGAAAGTGCCTGTTGTTGTTAACTGATTCTCTTCATGTGCTGACTTATTTTAAGGGCTCTGTTCTGTGCTGGCTGTTGAATATTCCTCAGAAATACTTTAGAAGGTCCATCTTAAAAAAAAAAATAAATCCAAGTTAAACCAGGTTTCTGTCCAATAGAAATGTGAACCTTCAATCCTTAATGCTTTATTTACTTCACTTCAAATCAACCATTGGAATATTTTGTTTTGTTATGAAGTCTTAATTCTTAGCTTTCTCTCCATGGATGGAGTTCATTTTACACTCCAAGGCAATAATGTGGAGCAGCTCTCTCTGAAAGGAGTAGCTTTCAGTCATCTATCATATCATTTACCCTAAATATTCTCTCATCCTCTTGTTCCCATCATGTTTAGGAGTATGTGGGAGGAATGACACTCAAAGGTAATAAAACCTTTGAGACAGCCTAATCAGTTAAGTTTATTTAATTACTATTTCGTCTCTGATTTAGAACTCAGATGTAAAGAACTGAAGTTTTAAAATTTCAAACTTTTCTTTCAGGTTCTTAACTTTAAAGAAAAGGGGAATCCTGAGGAATTACTTATGTAGGTCTCAGGTATGTGGGTTTTTCTTTTCCACAATTCTTTTCTGGCTTTCCTTCCCCCAATCCTACTTTATCTATAAATGTTCTTCTCGATGTCCTTACTGATTCTGCTTTAGGCAATTAGAATTAGATAACACATAGTTTTAGTACAGTAATGAATCTGAAATCATGTTTACAGTGTTTGTACAAGTCAGGCTTACATGGAAATCTGTAATGACTTAACTCTTACACTTTCACCAAGTCACTGCTGTTTCAGGGTTTGAGTTCTGGTTTCACTGTGACTGTTGACAAACACACACAAATATCTGACACTTCTGAAAAAGGAGGAACTTGCTGATCTGCCTATGGTGGTTATGTAGGTCTGAGTTTAACACTTGTCATTCGTGAGATTGTACTGGATGGGTCAATTTTGTTGAACTTACCAAATTATCAAAGAAGTACCTCTTAAAAGTGGCTGCATGTTTCTCCAGTAAACTACCTGCTAACTGAAATTTTTTATTTAGAAGGATAACACTGTAAATTTGATTTTTGATGTATTCCTTATTTTATACTGTACTAAAGCCTCATGTTACAGAATTGTTTCAGTTAAAAAAAACAAAACTAAGGACATCTCAATTAAAATGTTTATAGATAAAGAGGAGGAAGAAAAGAAAGTAAAGGAATTAGAGAAAAATGCAGTAGCAGTTACCTGAGACCTACTTGATTTTGTGGATGTCTAATCTTTTAATTATTTGGAAAAGGAAAACTAGAAAACTCCAAAATTACGTACTTGATTTCTTTGAAAACGCTTTTTTAGAGACGACCTAGTAAATTAAAAAAAGGGGAGGGGAAGCCTGTCAGACATATCCAGTAGCATTTAGTCATTTTGCTGTGAAGATGCATGCACTCTTGATATCAGTTACATTCCAAAACATTCTGAGTCATGGATTGTGTGCAGAAGCCCTTTGCACTGCGGGCTGTGGGCAGGGCCTGGCTGTGCTGGGGCTCAGCTCTAGAATCATGGAATAGAATCGATTGGGTTGGAACAGACCTCCGAGATCATCGAGTCCAACCCTTGGTCCAAATCCAGTCCATTTACTGGATCATGGCACTCAGTGCCACGTCCAATCTGCCTTTAAAAATCTCCAGGGATGGTGAATCCCCCACCTCTCTGGGCAGCCCATTCCAATGCCTGATTACTCTCTCTGTAAAGAATTTTCTCCTGATATCCAACTTAAATTTCCCCTGGTGGAGCTGAAGCCCGTGCCCCCTTGTCCTATTGCTGAGTGCCTGAGAGAAGAGACCAACCCCCACCTGGCTGGAACTTCCCTTCAGCTCTGCTGCAGAAGGTGCTGAGCTGTGCTGGTGCTGGGCCTGAGGCAGTGTGTCCCCTCTGCAGGGCTCTCTGAGCTCCCTGGTGGGGCAGCCCTGCCCCAGCTCCCCACAGCAGGGCGGGAGCGGGTGGTGCCCGTGTGCCCAGGGAGTGGAGGGACACCCCTGGTGCCTCAGCTGTGGCTTTGCTGGTGCAGCACATGGAGCTGCTGGAACCTCTGGGCTTCTGTGTAACCACAGTGGGAGCTGGTCAGCTGTGGGGCTGCTCTGCCTCCCCAAACATCTCCCTTCTCACTCCTTGTCAGTTGGCAGTAACAAGATTAGAAGTTCACTGTCTTGTCGAGTGCTTCTGTAATAATGCTCTATAATTATAATGTCTTCTTACCAAGTCTTTGTGATTTAGTAATTTATTCTGAACAGGTGGTTATATAACCTGCAGCCACACTTCTGACCTTAGAAATATCAGAAATCTTTACTGATACTAGGTGCTTTTAGTTTCATTTAGTTTTTCACAAAGAATCTCTAAACTGGCAGTCAGGAAGGTGATGAGCCTAATACCTTTAACAGGGATATTTGAATTAATTTCCTTGGGTTTGTTTAGCAAAATGTCTTATTACTGCTGACATAATTATCAGTACTATTCACCATCTGACATTGAGAGAAGACAGACAAACCCACCAAAATTAAATGGTAGGAAAACAAGGATTAAAGAATTTTTGCTACTATAGACATCAATTTCAGTGTAGATCTCTGCATTTCAGTACTTCTTAGTGACCCTATCTGTAACCTTATCTGTAACTGCTGTGAAATCTTGAGTTTCCTGTTCTGTTCCCAGCTGCAATTTTCTTTAATCTCAAGTAATAGTCAGGGAAAATCTGTCACATGTACCTGTGATTGGTTTATGTGGGAGATACAGGAGAGGGCAATCAAAGTGATTTTTTGGTAAGGGAATAGAAGTAGTAAATAAAATTCTGTAACAAGCTGAGAGTTGAGTGTGTGTGGTCATCCTCAGTTCTGTAACTTCTTAGTCTTCCTATTTAATTATTTAAAATTCCAAATTCAGGTTTTAACAGAACCATGTTTCCTTTCTGTGAGGAGGAAGGAGAAGTACTGGATAATACCAGTGGGATTCAAAAGATGCATGGCTGTAGAAACAGGAACAAGCAGCAAGAGAAACAACTCAGATTGTCCCAGCAGCTGTTTGTAGTGAGCATTAACGTGGAAATAGTGAAGTTGTATTTGAAGTGCATGTTTTAAAATTGCATAGTCCCGGGGTTTTTTCATTGTGCAGTAGCTTTCTGTGAGTCATTTTGCAGTAATTCAGAAGATCTTTATCAAGTGCTAGCCAAGGGAATAAATGCATAAGGTCCAAAGTCTTAAAAAGCAGTGCTGTTTGCCACTCTAGAATAGTACTGGAGGGAGTAGTACCTAAAAGCAATTAAAATTAGTTTCATTTAAAATTCCTCCTGAATCATGCATTTTAAAGATTAGTAGTGTTGTTTGTTTTAGGATAGCTACACATGCATTATTTTGTATGGCTCTGAATGTGAGAGTTGAATGACTGTAGAAAATAAAAGTAGACAGAAAGTCTGTTTGCAAGGAAATTAAATTACAGACAAAAAAGATTTGGAAACAACAGGACATACTGGTCTTAAACAGGACAATAAAAACTCTGTTTTCTCCAAGTGGAAGGAGTTCATAGCTGGGACAAAGTGAGCCCTGAGGAGTTGAGTTGGGTGTGCAGAAGAGAAGTTCCTGGTACAATATTGTTGTTTTCAGCTGAAAATAGGATTGTGGTGACAGTGGCTGTGAGAGGTGTGCTGGGTTAATGGATTGGGTGTCCAAGAGCCTAATTGGTATTCTCAGGTAAATGCAAGGGACATTTTTTTCCCAAGTAGAAATTAGGTGTTGTAGGAGAGCTAAAAGACAACGTTGTCAGTAGTTAGACTTGACAAGGTGGCTTGTGAAAGGTTCTTCCAAAACTGGAGCATGTGGCTCAGTATTTTTTGCTGTGTAGAAAGGACAAAGGATTGTGTTTCAGTTCTCAGGTTCTCAGATGGGTGCGTGGTTTATCTCCAGTGTGTGGATAAGCAGGGGAGCTGTCAGCTGAAGGGAGACAAGTGTCACATCTGTTCTTACATTCTTACCCATTGAAACACAAAATTTGCTAACAATAATACTCTGAAAGGTCTGACTAAAACTTTATTCCTGTTTTTTGGTAGGCTTTTGGTCATGGCTTGTTCTTAAATAGGTTTCCTGGGCAAAGAAGGAACAGGCACTAGCTCTCTTGAGCTTCACTTGAAGGACAGTGCATGTGCAGCTTCAGTAAAATGTATTTCATACAGAAAATATCTGCTTGAGATCTTAAGGAAAATAAAATGACAAATGCAAGGGACTGTTTCTTGCTTTGTTACTGAGGATCTGAACTAAACCATTTTGAAGGCCTGACCTTTTAAATAAAAGTACTAAACCTTTACCCTTGAGGAACTGCACCGTCTTGAACGTGTTTATTTAAGTGTTTTTTAAGTTCTGGTACTCTTTCCAAAACATGATTGAGCTGCAGGGTAGACAAACTTCCATCGATCTCCTAATGTTTTTCTTGAGCTGAAGTACTTGGTAGTATTTGATGCAAATTGTCTAATTATTTCTGTGTAGAAAGTATTTCAGTTTGCAGTTTCTTGGAGGAAGGACAAGCAAAAATTCAGAACATCTTTTTTTTTACTTGTTAAGGTTTTTTTTTGCTTAGTTGCCTGAGATTATTTTTCTGTTTCAGAATGAACACAGCGATGGAGAGGATGATGGGCAAGTGGGAGAGCCTCATATGACAGACTCTGAAAATGAAGATATCCCAAGGCAAAAGGACAGTGATTCAGATAATGAGGAGCCTCCAAATCACAACGTGAGTGATTCAGACAATGAAGCAGCTCACGGAGGGAAAGACAGTGATTCTGATACTGAGGACCCTCCAAACCGGCCTCTAAGTGACTCTGAAAACGAGGAGGCCTTAAATCATCGAGCGAGTGACTCTGATAATGGAGACCCTCCCAGGGACCCCAGCAGTGATTTTGAAAACGAGGAATCACACAAACAGCCGGGCAGCGACTCGGAGAGCGAGGAGCTCCAGAAGCAGCCGGGCAGCGACTCGGAGAGCGAGGACGTGGCCAGGCACAAACAGATTGAGTCTGAGGACAGCGATGGGGAGGACAGGAAGGAGGAGGTGCAGAATGACTCTCATCATTCGGATAATGAACACGTAAGGGAAGGATTTCAGGGCTCTGACAGTGAAGACGAAGCTCCTAAGAGACGTAAAATATCGGACAGCGATGAAGATGAGAAAGAGGAGGAGAAGACAGTGAAGAGGAAAACAGCCATACTTTCTGACAGCGAGGACGAGAGTGAGAAAACACGTAAGGAACTATACTGTGAAAATGTGCTGTGACAGGCAGTGATGTGAAAGTAAATTCATTGTGTTCACGTGAATAAAGCATCTGAGTGAGAAACCATAAATCAGGTTTGGTTTTAGAGCAAAATTTTGTGGAGGCTGTTAGTCTGACTGCTTTGCTGTGTGAATATCTATCTAATACTTTTGAATAATAAGTAGGTGTAACAGAAGAGAAGACAGTAGTGGTCTTGCTTTGTGCTGGCATCGGTTGTCATGATAGTTTGTTATTTCTCTACTTTGTTGTTCTCTCTCTAGTCTTTTTTTCCTGTGTGTTTTTTCTTATTTTCATGTACTGAGGGTGAGAATAAGATTTGAAATTACAATTTTTTATGGATGGATAGATAAATCCAGTTGCTGATTTAATTAAACAGAGTTTAGAATTGATATGCTTTTAAGAAATGGCAATGATTTTGTGTAGGAAGACTAGTCAGGGAATAGCTTTTTGAGAGTACCAGTTGTATCCTCTGTTACTGGGACATGTAGTAATGCTCCTCTCTGCTGGCAGCTGCCAAAAAGGTACGAATCCTTTCTGATGTGGAAGAATCAGACAGTGATGCTGCTTCGGAGAAGTCTGACAAAAGGAAGAAAAACATTGTGTCAGATAGTGAGGAGGAAGAAGAAGAAGAAGAAAGAAAAGAAAATGCTGGGAAGAAGAAAGAAGAGAAAGATCTGTTTGGCAGTGACAGTGAATCTGGAAATGAACAAGAGTAAGTGCTTGTGGGACTGTAAATTCTTTCAGCTGGCAGGTAGTGAGAGTGATGTTGAATGGAGAATGGATGAATCTCAGCCAGGGAATGACTGTCCACCTTCGTTGGAGGTGTGAAGAGGAAGGTCAGTAGTAGGAGGCAGAATGAAAAGGGGATCTCCACACCATCACTGGAGATTTTGCAGCAAAGGCACATCTCACTGTTGCCATCCAAATAGCTAAATGTTGCTGTTTTCTTCACAGGAACCTGATTGCAGATATATTTGGAGAATCTGGTGATGAGGAAGAGGAGGAATTTACAGTAAGTGTTATTGTGGATGTCTCCCGTTCACTTACTAGATCTGATCTTGAAGGGGGAATGCTTATGCTGTACAAGATCAGCTTTGTACCTGCTGGACTCACTGGGGTAGTCTTGGGGTTAAATAATATTTACAACTCTTCTGTTGGGAGAGATGTTGGTATGACAGTCACAGGTGGAATTAGAAAGATTTTGCTCTTCTTTCTAGATCCTCTGCAGATTTGCCTGAAGCTTTTCTAGTGTCGGTGTCAGGTGCCTGAGTAGATGCTCAATCTTAATCCTTACACTGATTTGCACTGTCTTTACCCATCAGGGTTTTAACCAGGAGGATTTGGAGGAAGAGAAGGGTGATGGAGACATGAAGGAGACAGCAGATGAATCAGACTCTGATGATAACATCAAAAGAGGGAAGCAGTAAGTCTGTGTTACATACTCATTTGTTAATGCAAGATTTTGGTGAAAGGGCTCCTCCAAAGACTGGCTGGAATTCTTAGCTTAGAAAGGTCTGGGACTGTATTTCTGCAGTGTTCTCATGAACTAGGACAAGGTCCTGTCCCAGCTTGTGCAGTTTGGTCAGTGGCAGTCCAGAGCAGATTACTTGTCCTGCTGCTTCAGAGACAAGATTTCATAGCTCAGATCAAAACCTCAGTGAAATCAAACAAGCATTAGCAGTTCAGCCTTGGGGTCATAGGTGTGTTTTCTCTGCTGGTGCAAGTCTTGCCATCAGCATGTTTTCAGTTTCCTTTCTGGCTGCTCCAGTAGCATCAGAGCAGTTTATGGCAGGTTTAGGAAAGCTAAATGTTTGTCAGCTGCAGTGCCAGCTTGAGGACATTTTGAACCCTGAATATTAAATGTGTGCACGTGTTGGCTCTTGCAGCAAGGTCCACGGGCATCTTGGAGCCGTTGGAGCCCTTTGCTGATTTTCCATTTTGCACACTGAGGATAAGTAATTATCTCACAGGGACCTTGAGACATAGTGTTTGTACACGATGGAAATACAAAATTATCCAACTCTCTCGTATTTCAGCATGGACTTCATGTCAGATTTTGACATGATGCTCCAACGGAAGAAGAGTATGAGCGGCAAGCGCCGGCGGAACCGCGACGGAGGGACGTTCATCAGTGACGCAGACGATGTGGTCAGTGCCATGATTGTCAAGATGAATGAAGCTGCTGAGGTGAGTTTTCCAGGCTCCAAAGGCACCTTAAAATTCAGATCCTGTGATTGGTAAGATACAAAAATCTGGCTTGTGTTTAGGAGGAGTGATCTGTACACATCGGAAAGCTTTCAGTATCTGTATAACTGTTTAAATGTTATTTTACTATTCTGAATTAAAACATTTATTCTGTTGAAATTTCGAGAGAGTACTAATTTTAAAAATTAAAATCAGTTAATTTGCTCGACTTTGCTCAGCTGAGAGCAGCTGTTCTCTAAAATAGAACGTGCTCTGTAAACTATATATGAGTGTATCAAACACTGAGAAAGGGACTGTGCATTAATTTCATTATATGATTACTGGCATATGTTGTACTTTGGTTATTTTTTCCTGAGAAGGACCCTTTTCTAAACTGAGTGACAGTGCTGTGGTAAATGACAGAGCAACAGAATCATGGGAAGTTCTGCCTTGGCAGCCTGCCTTTTTCGAGGAGAAATGTTTAATATGTTACTGTGCAAGGTTTATTGGGGTCTTGCCTTCTGTCAGGTGTCTTCTGTTATTTTGTTGAGAAGCCATCAAATGAACAAACAGCACAGTGAAACACATTAAAATCAATTTGAGGGGATATAAGAACTTGAGAAAGAGGAAGTTCGAAAATAGCAATAACAAAAACATCTTCCTGAGAACAAGATCAGAAGGATAATGAGTTCAGGGGGACAGGGAGAGTGAGAAAGCATTCTGGGAGATAACTGAGACTTCCTTGATCTTTGCAAGAAGGTCTTTCTTTGGACAAGATGACAGCCAGATGTTCAAATGAGGCAGTAAAGTTGGAAATACTGGAGCATGAAGAGGGGAAGAGACACATTAGAAGAATCTCCTCCCTTGCAATAAAAAAACCATTGTGCAGAAAGAGCCTTCAGTGGATTAAGATGAGGAGAAAGGAATTACCACAGCAATCTGTTGATTGCAGTGGATGTTCCAGATATGGGAGCCAAGTACTGAACAGATAAGTGCCTTGGATGACAGTAATTTTGGAACCCACAGCTGAAGTGAATATATGTGTTCTCCCTCCCCGTTGTTCTGTTTTCCAGATGAGGTTTTACTAACAGAGTGTTGAGGTTATCTGTGCATAGCATGGAGAACTCTGCAGACCTCCAGTTATTGCAGTCAATTGAAGTCATGAAGTGGGGAAAAAAAATGTAAATTTAGGGGGACACTCCTAATGTGATGCTTTTAAGGAAAATGTTGACTAAAGTGTGACTAACTTGTGCTGATTCTTCAACTCTCTACAGGAGGATCGACAGCTGAATACACAAAAGAAGCCAGCACTAAAGAAATTAACTTTGCTACCAACTGTAGTTATGCATCTTAAAAAGTGAGTTATTTTTCCAGTTAATTATAACCTTGGGGAATATTCAGAATCTGTTAGATTTCACGGAGTGACACTGCAGCTCTACAGAATATGCAGTAAAGCAGCTTTTTTTCTTCCAAGTAAATGTTGCAGCTTGGTAACCTCAAAACCCTAAACTTACATGTGATTTTTGCCTGTTAATTCAACATGAAGCAAACTCAAATGCACTGTTGTGCTTAAGGAACACATCCACATCTTAAGATTTTGTTATATTACATGACTCTGGGGCTTCTCTTTAAACTTTCTAGGCAGGACCTCAAAGAAACTTTCATCGATAGTGGTGTTATGTCTGCCATCAAAGAGTGGCTTTCTCCTCTTCCAGACCGAAGTCTGCCAGCACTAAAGATACGGGAGGAGCTTCTGAAGATCCTGCAGGAGGTTTGGAACTGACTTTTAACATTTGATTCGTGGCTTCTCCGTGGTTTTATAGTCACGTGCTTTAGGGAAATGTTTGGTGATAAATGAACAGTGGGCTGTGCAGTGAAACACACAGGGAAGCAAACTGCAGGACAGATATGTTTGTATAAAGGAATTTAGATGATTTAACCCTGCCTGCCTGCTTCAGGTTTATAGGCAAAGTTTAGTGAAGAGTCATTTGCTGTGTTTCCCTGAAGTTTTTTCTCTCGTGGTCCCTTCCTTTTCCAGCCTGTTAAAGTGTGCAGTGCCCAGGAAGGCCCATCACACTCAGTGTAGGCTCTCAGTGTCTGTAGCTAAGCTGATTGCCTGAGTGCTTTTGCCTCCTAACTTGTTATTTTTATAGAGTGAATGCTTTGAAGGGAGTAACTCAGTTTTGGGGTAGTGTAAGCTAAAGAGCATTTGGAGTAAAAAAGTTCTGGAAACCTACTTCATTTTGTGTATGAACTCAAGAATGTTAAGGCAGATTTCTAGTTTTTGGTGTTTGGCACTTTAAACAATTTCTAGTGGGACAATGAAAAAGATTAATTTTTTGAGCTTATTGTGAAGGTGAGTTGTGGTCTTTTTGTGAAGTTCAGTGATGCCAATAACGTTCAGACATAATTTCTTGCTGTTTTCTGACTTTTCCTACCCTGCAGCTGCCCAGTGTGAGCCAAGAGACCCTGAAGCACAGTGGGATTGGACGGGCTGTGATGTATCTCTACAAACACCCCAAAGAGTCGAGACCAAACAAGGACATGGCAGGGAAGCTGATCAGTATGTAGACCTGTCTTCACTTTGTGTTGCTGAGATTGGAATCTCTACATCAATCTCTAGTGCACACTTTTTGCTGTTGTCTGTAGTGGAATTGATTCTGCCGTGTAGGAACCTCATTGATCTGTTCCATCACTTTGTAGAGCTCTTAACAGACACTGTTACATGAAATAATCAGGACAAGGTGCATGCAGAAGTTTGTTCTTGTCCTAAGTCAGATGACATTTATTTGCCCCAGTCCTCTCTTGGTTTGTTGTCCAGACCCTGATGTATGTGCTGCAAAGGCAGGAGGGTGCTGCCAGAGGGCTGTTTATTCCATGGACTTTACAGAGGACTTGGCTGACTGAGAGTTTACCACTGGAGTGGCTGCAGACTGAGGATGAACTTACGTTCTTTAGGAACTCTTCTGCATATTTCTAAAATAGCATTTTGGTGTGCAGGAGCTCCTGACACTGAGTATTCTGAGAGCTCAGAGGGATTCCAAAAGAACAGGCAACAGCAAGACTTCAGGGATGAAAGCTCTTACTTACTGTCCCCAAGGCTGGATTTCCATGAAGTATTAAGGGCTCAAATCATTTGTTTGGTTGAAAGGAAGCACAAATATTTGCTGTAAACTTTAAAAGCTGTACTTGGATCACCGGAATGGTTTGAGAGAAACTTCAGAGGCCTGGCCATTGTGTTAACCAGTTATTTTTTTTAATAGATGAATGGTCTCGACCCATCTTTGGCCTTACCTCAAACTACAAAGGCATGACCAGAGAAGAGAGGGAACAGAGAGATTTGGAACAGATGCCTCATCGAAGGAAATTGAGCAGGTAGGAGTAGCAGGCAGAAACACGAAATCCTTCTTTCTAAGACTCCATCAAGAAAAATGTTGTGTAAATATTAAGGAAACAGAAGGATAATAAGTTATGACCTCTCTTTCCTTTTACTACACTTTGTTTTTTAAAATTTCTGCCTTTCTCTGTGTATAGATGCTTAAAAATACTTGTTTCTCTTGCAGCTCTGGTGGGCAGACTCCCCGCAGAGACCTGGAGAAAGTGTTAACTGGAGAGGAAAAGTAGGTTGAGGGTTTTTTTTAAAAATTGATTTAAGTATTTTGGTGGTACTACCAATATGGAAATGGAGGTTTTAGAGGCAGTGGGATGCAGTGTGTTTCAGAGGAGAACACACTACATTGCTGTCCTTCTTTCTGGATAAGATTTGTCCGTAACAGTCCCACCCTTTCTTCCTGCAGGGCTCTCAGGCCCGGGGATCCCGGGTTCTGTGCCCGTGCGAGGGTGCCCATGCCCTCCAACAAGGACTATGTGGTCAGGCCAAAGTGGAACGTGGAGATGGAGTCCTCCAGGGTAAGCACTGGCATTCTCCTGGTGACTGTCCTAAGCCTGGGGATCTGTCACTGGATTGCCATGCACTGTAGGGTAGTTCTTTTAAGGGGCTCTTCTAATGGGAGTAGACAGTAAGTTCTCTGTCGAGTGGGCTGTTCTAAGCTCATCAAATGCTTTCACTCAGGTTTCATTGCTTCTCTGACAAGAGATTTTTGAGATAACTGTTGCAGAGTTTCCCTCTTGGCTGAGAATCTGATCACAGGCCTCTTGCTTTAGAGCATTCTGACCTAAACCTGCAGTTCAATACCTCTGTCACTGCACTGATATTTTTATACCTCTCCCCAGAACATTATCATGTTCTGATAATATTCCAGTTTGGGAAACCTTGGAGGTTTTGGTAAACTTGAATAGCTTCGGTGGAGGCCTTTGTGTTGCTTTCTGTGGTTCCTCCATCTGCCTTGTACAGTTTCAGTTAAAAGGGGTGTACGTGGTAGAGTATGTGTAAATGGAAGAAGTAACAATTGCTGTGCTTGCTGCTGTTCTCTCTCCTTCTGTGCATTAATTGAGATGTTGTTTCTAGCCCGGGACTATTAAGAGAGGTATTAGTCGCTTGGAAAAGCACAAGAGACGGTTTGCTGAACAGAAACGACTCAGCAAAGTGCATCGGGCCATCAAGTTCAGCATTGAAGGCAACAGGATGCCCCTGTAGCCATGCCACTGCCTTCCCAAGTTGGAGAGGTATCCCTCGAGGGAGGTGTGAACAGTGCATGTGCTTCAGCTGTTGGCAGTTTGCACATGCAGGACAGCAGTGTGTGTACACCCTAACCTAAACCTGGAAAACTCTCCTTGTATTCTCTCGTGTCTGTACCGTGACCTACAAGGCAACTTGTACAGGAGAAAACAGGCTGTAGCACATAACACCTGCCATGGCACCTGCCTGCACAGCACCAGGGTACCCAAATGACAGGTGTCCAGTGAAAATACCTGTGCTCAGTACCAGCTTTGCACCACCTGTGGTTTTAAGTGCTGTTCTGACACAACTGGGTTTTCCAGGTTTACCTGAACCGACACATGGGAATTTTTAGCCCTTGGTACAGAACCTCGTGTCACTGCACACCCAACATCTGTGGCTGATCTTTGAGGGGGGGCACAGGGAGGTGTTTTTCACACCTCTTTCAAGGAAGTAGAGTGATGTGATAGTGTGAAGGGACTTTAGGAGTGGTTGATGGGAGGCAGAGAATGAGACCGGGGGAGAAGAAAGGCCCCACTGTGAGTGTGGGGTGGGAGAACATGCATCAGTGTGGGAATTGTTTTGACAATTCCTGGTCTGCATTTCAGTGCTTTGAGCAGGGCTGCCACAAGCTGACAGTGACAGGAAGAGATGAGCACAAGTGATAGATAACTGTTGAGTTTAAGCTTCATATTTATTTGTTTTAAAAAAAAATATTTTCTTAAAAATCACTGTGAAACTTCAACTATAATTTCAATGAGTAGTGAACAGTTTTATGAATAAAGATTATTTAAAATCAGTGTGTCAGGGGCACCTTCCTCAGCAATGGGAACAAGTTTCTAAGGGATGTGTTTTGTCAGATACTATGTAGCATGTTTTGGATATCTCTGTTTCTCCTAAACTTAAAGGTGTGGCGTTTTCATTGTTTATTATTTCTGTTGTCTAGTTAGGGGAAATTGCCTTCTAGGAAGTATGGGCTATGGCTTGGAAGGTCCTTGCTGTTTGTCTTCAGTGATGTTTGGTTACAGCATCACTGTATTTAATCTGGGCAGAATAACTGCTGCACTGCCTGCTTTTCACTTGCAGTTCAAATGCAGAGATGAGATGCAATAACTTCTAAGAGCTTTTATGGTCAGCTTAGCATTTCTCTGGCTTCTCCCTACACACTTTTCCCAGTAATCTCTTGCTTTATAAGGACTAATCCATGACCTTAAAAATAAATGGCAGTTTGGAAATGCTGTGTCAGCCTCAGTCACAGTGTATCCATGTCTGAACTCCCCCAGGAAGCCCTTTTGGGTGACACGGGTGCACTGTGGTCCTGACACACCTCCAGCCACTAGAGAGAAAACCTGCAAACTGCACCCAGCAAACAGGGTGATGGCTGAGTGCCTCTGCCTCCACACGGGCCGTGCAGATCCTGGGGGAGGCCTTTCCCCCCTCTGGGGAAGGACAGATCCACCAGCCAGGCCCAGCTGTGACCTCGCATGCGCCGCTTGCCTTGGACCTCTGGGACGTCTGCTTTTTTTTCAGTGGTAATTATTAGTTTTATTTTTTAAGTTCCAGGGGACCTCTAAGAAAGGGGTGAGTCGACTGGACAAACAGATGCGGAAATTCACAGATATCAGGAAAAAAAGCAGATCGGCCCATGCAGTGAAAATCAGCATTGAGGGTAATAAGATGCCATTGTGACCCTTCACAGAATACCCCATGAGCTCTGCTGTCAGACAGTGCACCCACAGACTCTTTGGAGACCTTTAAATTTTTTTACAACTTGTTTGGGGTTTTTTTAATTGTTGGTTCAGGTTCTGGTAGAAGATGTTGTCTGAGGACTGTGAATATGAAGACTTCTTTCTCCTGATAGTATTTAACTGGCCCTATCATGTCCTTTGTACAGATCATGTATTTGTTGTATTGCAACACTTCAGACAATAAAACATCTTCTGTTTTTTTGGGCTGCTTGTTGATTACTCAGGGGAAGGTATGCACAGACCACCTTGGATGTGGAAAAGCTGTGAATGGTTAATTTTCTGTTCAGAGTTGTCCAGTTCCTCTTTATTCAGTGATTTATTAATCAGTTATTATGTCTTTGGAGATCTACATGTATTGCTTTTGATTAGAAATACTGACCATTTTCCACACAAAGGATTTTATTTTTCATGAAGACTGATGTAAAGTTCAGGAAAGCCCAGCAGACCAACCACTAAAAATTCCAGCAGTTTCCAGCTAAAATGTTTCTGTAGCTCATTAGTGACTTTGCAAAAGGTCTGTTTTACCAGTGGGAAGGAGAAGGTTTCTGTGTTAGGGGGGATCATGCTGCTATTTGTTTGTCCCTGCAGCTACAGAACAACAGCAGAGCAACATCTGGTCATGTTGCTTCTTTGCCTTTACCTCCACAAATGGTTGTCTCTGCTGAGCTTGCCTACAAGAAGAGGCCTCTCCTCCTTGCACGGATAACTGGCAGCTGGAATTTCTTCAGTAAGAAAGTTACCTTCCTTCCACAGGAGCGGAGCCTGTTTGCTGTAATGTGTGTTCTGTAATTCTGGGTGAGTTTGGGTGAGTTACTGCTGGCACTGGTAATGGGTGAATGCAAGAGTGTGGAGAGCCCCATGTTAAATGTGGCCCTGTGAGACTGGAGGGAGTGACAGTAACAGAGCTGTGTGCTGGGACACCAGCTTCAGGAGGAGGATGCCTGTGCTGGCTGGGGCACGAGAGGGATTCTGCTCCTAAGACAACTTCACCTGCTCTCCCCAGGTATGTGTATGCTGCAGTAACTGCCTCAGGGGTGTGTTTTTAGCATGCTGAGACCTTCAGGGATTTGTGTTTTTTTCCAATTTTAGTTAAGAATTTACTGAAAGCCAGGGCCTTCCTTACTGCCATAGTGGCAGGTGCAACTGTGAAGAACAAGGAAACTGTGCAGAGCTGTTCATAGCCAGGGTCTGTTTGGCCCTAAAAGTCCAATAGATTCTTTTTTCTTCCCCCAATTTTTTTTTTTGTTGTAGTTCTGGTGCTTCAGTCTAGTCTTCTAGTCACTGGGGTCTAGGGGCTACTTTTAAATCCTAGGAGATGTTTCATTGAGGTACTGGGCTCGGTGGTCTTGTGCAAGGCCTAATTCAAATTCTTCCTATCAAAATTCATCATAATAGCTCAACAGTGTGTGTTCTCTGAGGCAAACATAATGGTTCTGTTTCTTGTGGAATGGTAACAATGGAGTGTGCTGGGGGGTTGTAATTAAAACATCAGTCAATTGTAGGAGAGGTCACAAAATCAAAAACTTGACATGGATCACCTGTTGAGAATTTTACTGCACAATCCTTTAATCTTCCTGGAGCTGGGTGGATTCCTGCTCGGTTTATGCCCAGCACTGTCTGTCTCAAAGCTGGAGCCAGACACCACTACCCAAACTGCACTTGCTTTGCTAAGCACTGAATTGGTACAGAGAACTGAGTGTGCCTGTCTGTGATATGCAGGTAGGCCTGAGAAATGTAAAGCTTTTGCTTAATGTAAATTCTTATCAGGAAGATTTTTTTTAAGAAAAGTTGTTTTCTCCTCTGTTACTTGCAAATAGTTCTTTATTATACACAAGTATTTTACTTAGCAATACTTGAATAAGCAATTTAACCCTCTCAAAATTTCCTTGAGGGTAAGGAGCTTGATTTTACACCATTAAGGACAAGAACAGGCCCCGTGTTGTAGACTGAAACAGTGTAATAGTAGAATTATTCCTGCTCCTATAGCTGGCATTAAGAAAAGTTAATGGAAAAGTTTTCTGAATCTGCTACGCTTTCAACCACCTCTTTAATCCAGGGGATGTAGTTGGCTACTCTGGTGTACACCCCGTATTTCCCCTGTTGGGCACAGCCCTCGCCCCAGCTGACGATGCCCAGGAGGAACCAGGTGTTGCGGTGGGAGGCGATGAAGGGGCCCCCACTGTCCCCCTTGCAGGCGTCGGTGGCCGCGGTGCCGTGCCCCGCGCAGAGCATGTTGTCGGTGAGCAGCCTGTCCATGGCCCGCTGGCAGCGCTCCAGGCTCACCAGGGGCAGCCGCACCTTCATGAGGAAGCGCAGGGGGGAGCCGCGGGCGTGGGTGGCTCCCCAGCCGCTCACCACCCCCAGCCGCCCCTCCTCGGAGAGCAGCGCGGCCAGGCCGGGGCTGGGCAGGCAGATGGGAATCGCGTACTCGTTGAAAACGACGGCACTGCTCAAGTAGAGCAGCGCGATGTCACCGTTGTAGTCGTTGGAATCGTAGTGTGGGTGCGTCCAGCTCCGTTCCACAGCGATCTTCTGCTCCTTGAACTCCCTCTGGTATTTGTCGAAGTCTCCTGCAGCCAGGACAAGTTAAAACGTTAAGGAAACTGTAAACAGCCTCTGGGGTATCGTCACTGGGAAACAGGAAGGACGGGGAGTTAACGCTTTGGTATTTTGTCCTGAGAAGGCACATCCCAAACCAAATCCTGCATGGAACAAGGACAGCTGTGATCCTGCAAACCAAACTCTCCAGGTGTTCTTTAGGCAGAGTTGGGGCCTGGATGATGAGATACTAACAGAGATGATTTCCCATAAACACTGTCAGTCCTTTTTAAGTAAGCAGAGCTGTGTCTAAACTTCCATGGGAGTGTTTCCCCTCTCAGGGACATGACATCAGCATTAAGCTGCAGCTGGGACTAAGGCTGAAGAATTGTTTCCTGTCGGTTCCCCAGTGCTGTCTGCTCCTCCTGCACATCCCTCTTCGGGAGGGTCCCTGTGGCACAAGGTTGTGTTTGTTGCAGCATTCCTGCTGCAGGGGGCCAGTTCCTGTGGTTGTAACAGGGGAGAAGGGCTTTGTGCTCCCAGGCAGTTACAGGCAACAAGGAAGAGGCAGCACAGCAGGTAATTAACCTTAAGGCTGATTAAGAACCAAAATGGCCTTGATAGCAGACAGTCACCTACAGGAACCCTTCTTCCTCCTGAGGGGTCACCAGGCTCTGTGCACAGTGAGTTTGCCAAAAGGGATGACAGAAGAAGACAGATCTCTGCCTTGTTTCCCCAGGTTCTCCATGAAAACAAAAGGGACCAGCTGAGCCCTTTGGCACCTCTGCGCTGCCAAGGAGCTGAAGTGGTCCCTAAGTGCGGGTGGGGCTGGTTGTGCTGTGCCTCCCCCTGCCCTGTGCTCACCCACGGTGACGTGGTGGGGGCTCACAAGGTCCAGGCAGTGCGCGGCCGTGACCACCCAGCGGCTGCTCAGGAGGCTCCCGCCGCAGAACCCCACGCCCCGGCTGTCCCGGATCAGCACCTGCGGGAAGGGAGAGGCAGGACCGCGGCTGGGCCGGGGCTGTGCACACACTGTGGGCTCTGACCCACCTAAGGAACACACCTGGCAGGAGCACCGGCCCACCAAGCAACGGGGCAGTGAAAACAGTAATAAAATCACTGCACTGCTGTGATGAGGGAGCAGAGTATTTAATGAACTAAGCTCGACAAGCTCATGCAGACTTACAGCTGCAGTGGCTGATGTTCTTCTGCAGGAACAAGTATGACTGTGATTTATTTTTCATGTGGCATCAAATGTTTTGGGAGTGGTGGAGAACAGAAACTCAAGGTGCAGTTTATTAGTAATCAGGTAATAAAATTTGTAATGATCTACACAGTAGCAAATGGAGAGGTTAAAACATGGTGCTCAGTGTTTTATGTCTGTCTTGCCTGTTCACAATTATAAGCTCCATCAATGCCTCAGCATCTCCTCAACTATTAATTCTGTGTACTATTGATGCTTTTAATTCTGTTCAGTAGTGCTAGAAATAAACATTGAAAAGTAGCAAAGAACACTTATCAGAAAATGCTGTCAGGTTATGAAGACCTAGAATGCAAAGGGTTTACAAAAACCTTTAAAAATTATATTGATAGATAGATACACTTTAAATTCAACATTAAATTACAAATTTCTTGATGTAATGACAATTTAAAACCACCTTAGTGGTAACACTTAATTTCCAGAAGAAACTGTATAAGGTTGGACAACAAACAACATTCCCACCCAACAACCCAAAATCAGTCTACTGATCCAAAGGGAAGCAGCTGCTGATGGAAACTCATAAAATTGGCTAATAGTGACATTTCAGCTTGCCAAAGTGCACAATGCATGGTCCACCAAGGTTCAGACTATGATTTTTCCACCTATAAATACCTTCTGATGTGGAATTGGGAAATCTACTTGTGTGCCAGCAGTAAATTGACTGAGGGTAATGTGAAGGGTTTGAGATCAGAATTTCTCTACAAACAGTAACAGGACATTGACCAAAGAGAGACAATATAGTGAAAATTAGTAACAAATAAGGACACACACACACAAAAGCCCCAAACCTACTGAATCTCACCTGGCCACAGAATCTGCCTCAGGAAAACTATTACCAGCCTTCCACAGGGAGGCAGAAGCTCAGCTTTTCCCTAAGGACAGGCAGACACAACCTGAATAACAGCCCAGGAGATCTGACTGGATTAAGATAGAAGGTATTATGTTCTAATCCAAAAGCATACATAAGTAGGATGGGAAGAATCAAAGGCATCTAAGGTCTGTATCATCAAAAGCCCTGCTGAAGGCTGAGAAATACACGTGGTTCCATTGCTCTCGACCTGAAAAAACTTTATAATGGCTTGATGAACTCTGCTCCTGAAGGACCCAATAAAGTTAAAGCAAGAAAGCACTTAGGTGTGGTGTTTGGCCAGACTGGAAGTAAAGTATTACCTGCCAGGGGCAATGTCCACGATGACACAGCATTCCTCCTGTTATCCTGGGGTCCCAGTGCTCCAAAGTAGAGCTGATGTTTGCCTGGGTGGGCTGAGGCACGTCCAGACCGTCTCCCCTGTCCCTGCTCTGATGCAGCCCATCACTCCTGTGTTCAACAGCCCCCGTTCTGTTCCTGCCACTGCCCTCCCCTCGTTGGTTTTGCCCTGTGGTGTTTCCCCCTGTTCCTTCCTGCCTGGCAGCAGGTGCTGTGCTCTTGTTCTGCCATGCTGGGCCCTGGCTTGGCTCATCCAGGCCTCTCCCAGTTCCCTCCACTGCCTTGTGGCTCTCAGGGCCATCCAGCTCCTCCCCCAGGGGCTTCTGGGACACAGAGCCCACCACTGTCTTCTTCCAGCTGGAAGCATCTCCTGCCACCTCCGTTTGTCCAGCGTGCCCAAAGGCATCCTTTATGGTCTCCTTTTCCCCAACATCACTGTGTTCCAGCTCCGTCTGCCCAGCTGTGCCCTCTGTGCTCCTGTTCAGCTCAGGCACATCCCTGTGCTCCCACTGGCTCCTCAGGAGGCTTTTTGGCCCCCGCCGCTGTTCCTGCAGGGCCTGCCTGGCTTTGATCAAGCCACAGGGAAACGGTGCTGGAAGAAGGAATGACAGAAACCAAGATCTGAGATTAGGGTGTGGTGGTGTCATGTTGAACTCAAACACAAAGCAGCACTTTTCCTGCCCAAGAATGGGACCCAACCCCCCTGGAACAACTCTGACCTCGTGATGTCCAACTCCCCCCTGGCCCCCCCCTTGGCTGAGTGTGCAGAACTCATTACCCAGAAATGGGCCTGTGGCCGTGTCTTTTCTGAGCCATCAGCCAGGAGCAGCCTGCCTAGGGCTCTCTTCAGGAAAGAATACTGACCCAGGCCTCCCCTTCTGCCTAACACCACATTTCAAAGCCCCCTGTCCTGTCCTCTCCCCTCCCACCCCTGCACTTCAGCCTCATGACTCAGTTTAGCTGATCTAAGCCTGTGCTAGAACAGGCCCACTCCCAACTGTCCTGCCTGCTCCTTGACCCAGTATGTGCTCACAGGGGCACTGGACTACAGACACCAGACAGAGAGGAACCTTAACATTTAAAATAAACATTACAAATAAGACAGATCTTTTCATACAGTAAGTGCAAGCTGCAGTAGCCACAGCGTGTGCAGCTCTTCTGCATCTAGCGGAGGGAAAGTCAGTGCCTGAAACCCTCCTCTTTTTCCTGAGGTGGCCCCAGCAGCCCGTGCTCTACCTGCCTGCACGCAGCTCCTCCCGTCCTCGTGCAGGGTGTAATCCCTGGCGCAGGAACACTCCACGTGGAGGGCGCTGCTGTCCCTGCAGTACTGCCAGCAGCCGCCGTTCTTGTACCAGCACTCCAGCCTCTCTGCCGGGGAAACACCCGCGGTTACAGCACCCAGCTCCTGGAGCTACTATTGCATGAGGCAAAGTAGGAAAACATCTGCTGGAAGCGCTCAGGGAAACAGAAGGAACCACCCCCCTTACAGTTCCAGACACGCACACTGGTGTGCAGCAAACCAGACCTCATGTTTGGTTTGTTCTGTTCTGACCATTCTCCCATTTGCCAGCTTTGCCCTGAGGCCACAGCTGGGCCTTTCTGTCTGTGGAGCAGGGGCAAGAAGAGGCCTGGAAGAACAAACACTTCTAAATGCATCAGTTTTTGATCCATCTGCACATCTTGTCTTTTATATCATGACAGGTTTAAAGCACTGGGCACTGGGGGGGTGGGGGTCCGACCCTGCCTGAAAATGACTGAGATTTTTATTCCTTGTTAAATTAAAAACAGTCACGTTTAATTGCTTCACTGTACAAAGAAAAGGTCAACAAAAGCAGTTGGAGGAAAAGAATTTAGTTTCCACAGTTTGGCTTTTGCTGTTATTTCATGCCTCAGTTTGCAAACTGGATAGAGCATTTCAGAGGATGAAAAATCTGGTAAGAGAAGGCAGTTTTTATCCTTCCTTTTTCGTCACTCATATATTACAACATAAATATAGCAGACTTTTCCCCTTTCAATGAGCTTTGGCTAATTTGTTTGACTGACTCAGTAAAAGAGAAGAGCCTCACCATGAACAATCTCCAGTGCAGGCACCTATGGCAGGAGTCACTAGAGTTGTTATCCCTCCAAAGTGATGAAAAGGGGCCTTTCCTGGGAGCAGATAGAAGATGGCCACACACCATCCTTCCTTCACAATGAATGCCAACGTGTCTATTCCTGCACTCACCTATTTCACAGTTGTGTCCTCTGAATTCTGGGGGGCAGATGCAAAAGTAACTGTAATGTCTTATTTTGCAGACTCCACCATTGTTACAGGGATTTGTACTACATGGATTTAAACCTAAGGAGAAGAAACAAGGCTCAGTGTAACTCCAGGAATTAAGAGAAGCCTGGCTTTCAATTGCCACATAGTTCTTTGTACCCAGGAGGGACACAAGAAATACATTTTTTTAAAGTTCCTTTTTTACCTACCTTTGTAATTGAACCAAAACTCCATCTGCAAGAGGAAATCACAAATGAAGAGAACAGGCAACAAATGGTCATACTGATTACTGAAGACATAGTTTAGAAAGCTGGTTTTTTAGGGTCCATGTAAACTGGCATTTTCATTAGAGCCATAAACACAATCTCACAACAGTAGTTCCTGATCACCACCGTGCCATTTACTTCTGTTTGCACCATGGACCAGCCACAGAGAGCATAAACTGGGCTGTACTGGAATCAAAATGAACCTGAAAGCTCAGATCCTTAAATGCTCCAGCCACTGAAAGGTCTGTGGCACCAGCTCAGGAGTTTCAAGTGACACCATCACCACACCCCCCCTCCCCAAAAGGGGTCACTGCAAGGCCTCAGCATCAGCTGCTTTGCTCTGAAGAGCCATTTCTACTGTGCTGCTTTACCTGCTACAGAGACATTCCTGGCACCTCGGGCTGGATCCAGGAGAGACCAGGCACCTGTTGAACTCTGCAGTTCCAACCTGTTGAACTCCTGCCTCAGCACAAGGCCCCAGAAGGCCCCAGCCCTGCTTCCAGCCAGATGCTGTTGGCCCTGGGAATGAGACACTCCTCCCCTGGATTTGGAGGGTCTGGACAAGCAAGTGACCTCTGAAAATGTCCCAGTCACATTGCTGGATTGATGCTCTCAGAAATGGGTTTTAGATACTTCCAGGGATTTGTGTTTAACATTTACACAACAAACTGAGCACTCACAAAGTGAAGTCTCACAGGTGCCCTGGGTGACCCTCCCTGAATCACCCTGAAGTGACCCAAGCTGCAGAATCCATAGACACACACCTCCAGAGCCACACTAGGTGACCTGGGCAGGATTAATTAGACCTCACCATTGACTTTCCTCTGTTTCTCCTAAAATCAAGTTTCTCACCGTTTTCTCCTGCGAATGGAAGATCTCCTTGGCCTCCTCAAATGAACACTTTTCCTCATTGCATTCTCTCTCCAAGTTCCCTGGACGAATCTCTTCTAGGAAGTGGTTGGCACGTTTCTGGACTCGCAGCACCTCGTGGGCTTTGTCTTTGCTCACAAACACTAGAAGACCAAAACTGAACAGTTGGTGCTGAAGGCAACACAGCAGCATTGCCACAGTCACAGTCAGACAGGCTTTCAGTGGGAAAAACAATATAAATGAGGGGAGTGGGAATCTACACAAACAGCCCAAAGGAAAATAAAATTAGTCTGTGTTTCAGCAAAACATATCAGTAGTCTGAGCTTGCTTTCAGTGAGTCAAAAGAGTCACTGCTGAGACTTGCAAGTTAGTGCAGAAATTTTTTATTCCACAAGACTCTTGAGTATTGCAGCTTTTTCTCTGGAGGCTGGTTAGATTTTCCTGCTTAACCATCCCGATTCACAACAATTATTAGCTTGATATTTGGTTATGGAGATGCAGAATTCTCCAGGTTCTGCTGTGGCCACAATAGAACAGACACCAATCCTTCATTAAGAGAAATATTAGTGTCAGTTTTGTGCTTATATTTAGCTCATCTCAACTTTGCTTCACTAAGGTATTTGCCCTCCTCCTGTGATGCCTTAAGCTGTTACTGCCAATAAATGAAGGGAGGAATGGCCAAAAGAAGGACTGTGTCAGTAATGTCCTCCCCACACACCCTCTCTGCTCCACAGCACGTCTTTGCCAAGGCACCTCTATCTGCAGCAGTGTGCCAGGGTTTTTCCACCCACATTCCTTGTGGGTGCACTGATCCCAGAAGTGCAGCCCCATGGCCAAAGCCCACCTGGCAGATGGAGAGGCTGCTGCTCCAAGTGTTATGAGACAAAAGCTCACTCTGTAATCCCAAAACAGCCTATGGAAATCCACACAGCACTGCTTTTCCCAGTTAGGCATTAGTGCCCTGGACAAGTCAAACCTTCTGGCAAAGAACCCAGTTTTGGAGATGGACTGTGAAAACACAGATCTATTTGCAGTTGCAGGATCAGTATTTACGGCAATGACTGAAATTCTAGAATGATATTACACTGCTTCATTTCCAGGCAATTAGTAACAGCCCACAAAAACTCAGTGGAGAAAAGCTTTGCACAGATCCTGCTGTCTGGTAACGGAGAACATTTCCTTCACTTGCATCAGTAGAATTTCCCTTCAGCACCTCTTGTGTTCTGGGTCATCTTAAAGGATTTACCTCCTTTAAGTAGGTGTCCCACAGAGCCTTTGCAGATACTCTGCTCTGCTCTTCCTCCTCTGCAAGGACAGCCACGATGATTCCTGAGATCCTGCACACTCTGGTGCCTGTCCCACAGCTCTCTGAAGCCACTTCCAAACCTTGTGTAGTAGTTGTACAATCAACACGAGGTCCAAGAACACATGCTGAAAGTGCCTCATTTTAGATTTCCAAATTGGAAACCTGTGCCATGCAAAACCAATTCAGATCTCGGGTTCCATGTCACAGGGAGAACACTTCTCAACAGGAGAGGGGGCTAAACAGAAACCTAAGAAAGGCTGATTTCACTTGCAAATATGTACATGAATATTAATTTCTTTCTTGTGCGTTTCAGGAAGTGTTCCTTCAACCCACAGGACTTGGTGTTCAGAACAGGAACGTAGTTTCTGTTTAAATGCCAACGTTGCCACAAAAAGACAATTTAATTAAAAAAGTAAAAGAAATACCTACCTTCATATGAAAACAGGCAGCTGCTGTCAATGAAGCACATCAGCAGGAGAAATCTCCCAAGTGAGGAGCTGCTCTCCATGTTAGTGAGCATCCAGAACACTGACCTCCTGATTTCTTTCTGAGTGAAAACAATAATAAAATTAGTATATTGTCACAAAACCAGCCTGCAAAAAAGATGAAAAAGCAGAAGTGAGAGGATAAGAAGAGACAAAGAAATCAAATTCTACCCAGTTCATTTTGACCTCATGTCCCCTGTTTCCCCAAGCCACGCCAACGCTGCACACCCCAACAGGCAGGAGCTGAGCTGTGGGGCAGGGGCTGGTCCAAAGCCCACGGAAGCCACGGAAAAGCCATGGGGAGCATGGGAACACACGGCCCAAAAGGAGCAGAGTCCACTGCCAGCCCAGTCTTGCTGAAGCCGAGGTGGGAGCACAACCAGCCCCTGTGCAGGGAAGACCCTGCACAGACCCCAAGGAGGAACCAAGCACCACATACCAGCAGTCACAGGTACAGCACAGAAGTTTGTATGTCTTCTTATTACCTTCCCAGGCTAAAGGATTTACCAGGATTCAACAGCATGTCCCTCTCTGCTACCTGCAGCATTTTTTCAAAAACACAGGATCCAGAATGAGTTCAATTTACACAGAACCATGCAATTATACTCACGTTTTTCTTTATTTTTTTTTTAGGGGAAGACAGGAAAGAGATTTGGCTGTACACCAGGAACAGCCATGAGGTCAAGAGGTTGATCATTAACTAGTCACAAATATTGACAGAGGAGAGAGAACCTGGATTCTATGAGACACATTAGAAACTCCAAATCGGAAGAAAAGTGTGTGTTTCCACACACATACACATGTGCATTAAAAAGAGAATTTAGCCTTTTAAATAATCCTCCAATACTAAAAGCCACTGCTTTGCAGTAAATTTCTTCAGGAAAATGTGGAACTTTTATGAGCAGATTTCTGACACTATCACCTTTCAGTAGGCAAGGCCAATCTGGAAAACACACCAGCTACCCTGTAAACATGTGCTGAAATATTGCAGAGCTGGGAGTGTGCAGGAGGATTCACTGCAGCCACCAGCAGGCAAATGTTGCCCTGTCACAGCACCAACACTGCCACCCCCCACCCTTCTTTGAACACAACCATGTTTCAACTCAGGGTTACAGGTTACCTGTTCCTGGTGCAGGCCTGCTGAGAAGGGTGCTGTTCAAAGCATTCTTATTTAATGTTCCTCCATCCTTAAGTCCTGTCCCAAGGGAAAAGGGGGAGAAGAAAAGAGAGCCAGAGCCAGCGAGCACAGCTCCTACCCCGACTGCTCCTTCAGTAATGACTCAACATCAGCACCTGGGTAACAAGCACCAAGGCAGCTCCTGAGTCAACAAGTCCACAAATTTAAAAGGTATTAAATCTCTTTGCTGACACCACATTAAATTTCTTACAAACTAACACAATTCCTTGTACCTGAGGTTTTTTTCGTTTAAGTTTCATCACAAGAACAGACTGAAGTTCTTCACTGATCCAAACCCCCTCGAGACATTGGAAACACACACTGGAAACACACATCACTAGAGCAGAAAGAGTTCTGCTTTTTTTTTTTTCTACAAGATTAATTCTATTTAACAAGTGCTAAGATTAGAAACAAGTATAAACTGTGATATTAAACTTCACCTGGACTATTGCTACTTCCTATGAACTTACTGGTGCTCTGTATCATTTACTCATGTACACACAGACATTTATCAGTAAGCATTAGCAATGCTCACACAGCCTGCAGCTGACTGCAGTCACCAGAACAGCAATAAACAGAAGCATTTGCTTACCTTGCTAATTAGAAGACTGTTACAGACCCCAGGATAAATAGAGCCTGCAATAGCTTGGAATTAAACCTCTCTTCTTTTTTTTGAATAATACTATACAGTTCCCATTCTCTTTTCAGGAAGTTTGGGGGGGGGGGTAAAATCAGGCATCAAGTGTGCAAAGAATAGAAAATACAGAGAAGTTCTAGTCACCTGCTGAATCAACAATCTGTGAGCACTGGAGTAGGATGTGAGGGACTGGAAGCAGTAATGATGTTACAAAAACTTCACTGTGTTGCAAGAAAAATTATACAAATACAGAGCAAACCAAAACAGTTACTGTGGGTACAGCTGAAATGACAGAACTGCATCTCGATGGTGACTTGCAAAAACAGTTTTCTCTGTCCCCTCCTGCCCCCCACCCCAACCAATTCAGATATTTTACACCTCAAAGATGGAGTTGTCTGACCATGGATCACCTTATTTTCTACAATCCTGTACAGCATCTCAGCTAACAGGGTTCTTTTTTCTTGCCTGTAAGGCTTAAGTAGGGCCCTGCCACAGATAAACACAACCTGCAACAAACCAATTTAAACAAGAAAAAAAGGAGAGAAAAAAAAAAGTCCCAAGGAAAACAGCACACGAGGTTAACATATACTCAATATTTAATACTGAAGGTCTGACATTACACTGCATACTGTCACCAGCACAACATTCCAGACTCTTGGGGTCAGAATCAACCCTTCAAAGGAGCTGACACATCTATGTGGTGCTGGATCCACTCCAGGTACTGACTAACTTTGGTGTAGACTCCATATTTCTCCCTATTCCCACAGCCTTGGCCCCAGCTCACCAGTCCTACCAAAAACCAGGTATCCTTATATTTGGTGGACATGGGGCCCCCGCTGTCCCCCCGGCAGGCATCCTTCCTGTCTCCCAAGCTCCCTGCACACAGCATGTTGTCGGAGACATGAGAGGTCATGGCGTGGGCACACTCGTTGCGGGGCACGATGGGGATCTCGATGTAGTGCAGGGAGGTGGGGTGGCTGACGTTCGCGTCGCTCGCCTCGCTCGTGCTGCCCCAGCCCGTCACCACCATCTGCTGCCCGCTCCTCGTGAGCTCCTGCTCGGCCAGGTTGCGGGTGGGGAGGCAGATGGGGAGGGCATATTTGTAGAACATGGCGTGCTCGGCCAGGTGCAGCATGGCGATGTCGTTATCCAGCGTCTCCTTGGTGTAATTTTCGTGGATCACCCGTTTATCGACCCGAATGATTTGCTCATCGACATCACGGCGACGGAAAAGGAATTTACCTGCAAGAGCAAACAAGAAGAAGACAGATGCTGCCAAACTTTCCTTCCCCTTGAACACCAAAGCATCTGGAATATGCTGTACTCCTGTGGGTTTACTTCCCTTGTAATACAGACATTTGCTCATTTTATGTCACAGGTTGACAGTGTTTTTAACAGATGGACTAACCTGCAAACTTTCCCTATTTACTGAAATCATGAATACCCACAGTAGTAAATGAACTGGTGCCCTAGAGCTCTGGTCATCAGCTGAGAAACCAAAATGTCCTGCTGTGTTCACATTTCACTACACCTGTGCAATATGAGAGAACTCCTTCAGGAGGAAAACAACCTTTCTGGAACCAGCATTAAAAGCTGGAAGAGCAAGCACATGCAAAGCAGGACATTCATGACAGGACATGAGCTTTATGCTGCCTGAACGAAACCTTATAAATAAAGGTGACTGACTGGTAAGGCTATTCCTTTCTGAAATCTTACATCTGTATTTTAACGAATTTTTGACTTCTTAAGACTTCTGGGTTGCTATTTGTGCTACATGATCACAGCCACTTCAGGGGCCAAGCAGTCAATGGAACAGTAAGCAGGAAACTGTGTTGAGAAGGGCCAGAAAGGCAAGAAGTCTTTGTGATACACTGGGATAAGAAAGGCAGAGACAGGTCTTTCTTGTAGGCTGTCAGTGAGGTCTTGCAGCTGGTTTTTTCTGTAAAGAGTCAGTGCCTCCAAGTGTAGGGACTTATGAGCCACAGTAGCTACAAAAACATATTCTCAAAAGACTCCTTAAGTCCAGTTTTGGATCTTGGACTTCCAGAGCAATTATTTCAGAGTCTCTCCTCTTGCTCCTCTGCAGACATCCAATGGAAAATTCATACCTGGCCAGAGCAGGTGGCTGAAACTGCTCTGACGTGTTGTATTAAGTAGTTCCAGAACCTGAAGGACTTCCAGTATTAAGCCAACAACCACAAATCAGTGTTTTTCTCCTATCACAACCTGTCTTCCTTGAGTGTCCTTGGAGCACTCTCCAGCCACTGTGGCTGGGGGATGGCAGGGAAGAGGCAGGGCTTTATTCCTGCCTTCACAGGTGTAAACCCTGCTTTAGGCCTCAGAAATAACTGTGGACTCAAATGCTCCTCTAAGGAAGGCAGTGTGGATGAGCAGGAACACACGTGCTGCAGGGCTCACTCCTCTTGTGCATCACAACTCTCTGTCCATGGCCACACACTGGATTCTTCCTCTGTGAATAAGGAAGGTCTTTTGGGCAAGCATGAGAGCGAGAGAAAGCTAAACCCCACTGATAACCATCCTTACACTATAAATTGCTCTGTATACTTGCCCCAAATTCAGGTGTGAGACATCTCTCAAGTTTCATTTGAACAGAACAAAATCTTCTCAAACCAGGGTTCTCAAGTGCTGACATTTCTTCACCCACTGAAAATCACATTTTATTTGGACTCTCCTGACAGATCCCACCCCTTCTTTCTTTGCTGCAGACACATCTCAGGGCATGGTTAATCCCAGCTGAAAGCTTGTCAGACTGCACAGATCTCTCTCAATTCCTGCAGTATGAGGCCAGGGTGGGACAATGTTAAGTGCAGCCTCAATACTTGCCCCAGTTACCATCTCCCCACTGAGCTATTCCCTCCAAAGTTACACTCAAAGCTACATCCAACAAAACAGAGCACTCCAACACCACATCTGACAGCTGCTTTTCCTCTAACGAGGTTCCTTAGTGAAGCTCTTCTTGGGCTTCACTAAAATTAATGGAAAACGCTTAAAAAGGAAGAAAATGACATAACTTATGCACATTTCCAAACTATCACATACAGTTCTATTTGGATGTCTCCCTGTGAAAAGATGAATATTCTGGCACTGAGAGGACCCAAGGCTACATCACATACTTTTCTATTCATCCTGTATGTTGGAAGTACACAAACACATCGATCTGTGTGTGCCTTACGTCTCTGTTCTCAAACCCCTGCACATCCAGAGTGTGTATGGAACATGCATGCAGACTGTGTATTTTCCAGGAGAGGTACACAGACAATATATTGGCAGGACTTTCAACAAATACTGGGAATATCCTATCATTTCACTGATGGAGAAAGCAAGCAGCTGAGCTGTTATACCTCAGCACCAATGGTACATAGAAAACACTGACCCAAAAAAACCCATATTACTTCAGTGTGAATGGAACACTAATTATTTCTGTCTGTTAATTCAGGAGCAGCACTGCTACTTGACATAGTGACATTTTCTCATGCTCCAGAGCAGCAGTGCAAGTAAAGGCAGTGTTGCCATTCTACAGCACCTCTCCTCCTTCTGCAGTGAAGTTCTCTCAAGTAAGAGTGTTTAAATGCATGAAAAGGCAGGAAGACACCCTGTGACATTCTCCTCCTGGGATAAAGACTTTTTTTTCAGTATTGGGATGACCTTGAATATTTTCAGCGCCAGAAAAACACAAGGAGAAGAGACCAAGTCTTTCTACTTTATAGACCAGCAGCAGTGCTCAGAAGATACCAGCTCACTTCCACAGTAAGGCTGATAGTGGCTCAAAGGAAATTAGATTTTTACTAAGCTTTGTTTTAAGCTAAGATGTATATTTAAATACTGCCTAGACAGTCCATTCCTACAACCAAGGACTTTTGCCTTCAGAACCTGTTATCTTTTCCTTGAAATGATAAATATTTTGAATGAAACAGTTATATTTAAAAAACCACAGGGATAGATGATTTTCCATACCAAGTCTTACTTTGAGCTCCTTTGGTGTGTCAAGGCAGTGTGCTGCTGTTAGGACCCAAGCTGGATGGATGAGAACACCCCCACACAGAAACTTCCCACTTGCACTTTGCAGCATAACCTGAAACCAAACAAGACAGGTGTGAGGTGTGACAGTGCCTGGAGAGTGGCTCACCAAACACTGTGCACAACCTTTTTTGTGGCTGCCAAACACCCTAATGCATCAAGCACCAACGCAGGGCACATGCACTGAAGCCAAAGCTCCACAGTGGGACAAAAGCCCTATGAATAAAGTCTCTGTGGAACACCTACAAACAAGTTTTGAATGCTCTTCCTGAATGAGGGCTGGCATTTGCACTCAAAAGCTTTGAAACACAGAGCACAGATGAGGGGATTATTCTTGTGTCCCACACCACAGACAGTGCATCATCTCAGACTGCAGCTCTCATGCTATGGTGTAAAAGGGCCTTTCATATCAAAGAGAACCACACCCTGATTATTTGCATTCATTAGTTCCATGATAAGCTCTATGAAGTCTCCCCTTTCTCTGTGATATCTCAACCTGCCGTGACATATTTTGCTGATTAAATCTGTTAACTTGAATGTATGACAGATAAGGCTCATAAAAAAGGGTGAGAAAATGCCCTCCCACTCCCACCATGAGGCTGTTACAGGAGCTGGAGCACACATCCCATCACACAGCATGAGTTTCCCAGGATGGAGCAACAGAGTTGGTGAGTGTCATCACCATCCTCTCTCACAACAGTGTTAGCAAGGTAAGGTAAAAAACTTGGTAACAGTGACAAGGTCAAGAGTCCAAACAGATACTAAACCATTTTATCCTGCTACTCCAATTTTGGGGTTGCTTTTGAAAAAACTAAGGAAATTTTAGCTTCACGTGACACCACCAGTAATGTAGGAACCTTTCTGGAGTAGCCAGGCAGGCAGAGCTTTTGGTGAGAGCCTAAACTACTTGTGGTGAAGAACTCTTTTCTCCTACCTGCCAAGGGCTGTCTCCCCTTCTTGCAGCTGTTCCCTCAATGAGCCGAATATTGAAGTTTGCTTTGGCTTCAGTGTCGTCCACCTTCACTCTCCCACAGGGGAACTCCACTGTGCAGATGCAGAGAAGTTCACTAGCAAAGCCCAGATCACCCAACACAAAACCGCTTTCTAGAGCATTCCCTCTGTGTCTCTAACCTAGGCAATACTGGTCAGAGGCTTCGTGGAAGTCCCTCAGTGCTTGGCAAGGAGGCAGTCTCCTGGTTCCCCTCTATGTCTCCAGGAGGCAAACACAGATTAAGGGCCATAAAGCAGGTATGGAGCTGAGAAATGCAGGCAGAGCTACTCTGCACAGAATAGGTGTTTTGAAAATGAGTAGAAGGTGCACTGCCAACAATTCTGCCCTAAAACTCTCTTACTTCAGTCTGAATAATCCTCTGTCAAACGTGGATCACAACCATCCTCCTCTTACCTACAGGCTTGCACGTGATGTGGTCGTTCATGAGCTGATACCCCGAGGCACAGCTGCACGAGCGGCCCTGGATGGCAGGGTCATCCCTACAGAAATGGTCACATCCCCCGTTATCCACGGAGCAGTTGGTGTACTTGACCTCTGAGGGAAAAAGGAACAGCAAGAGAGATGCGAGAAGTTTGAAAGTCAGAGTCACAGGGAGGTAATGTGGCAAAGTGGGCAACAGCTGTCAGTGATTTGGGATGACAGTTGTGGGCTTTAACAGCACCTGGGCCCTGAGACAGCAAACAACCTCAGTCCAGAATCAGGCAGTGGGGAGATGGAGGAAACAGATTACTGTCAGAGCAGGTAGACTGGAGAACAGAAAATTCCCTGTCACTACATGCAAGCACACAGTGCAAAGTGTTGATGATACAGGACATACAGTGCTCATCCCTAACTATGCTGTCCAGCTTTTGTTCAAGGAAGAAATTGTCACAGTAATGACAGTAAATACATTGTATTTAAAATCCCCACCATCATCCCTGGGTTGACAGTTCTAAAGTAACTGAAATCCCTGCTTTACAGAGTTATTTTCGGTACTTGTTCAAAATTTAGATATCTCAGATCTCCGAACTTCTCCTATGGCAACACAAAGTTAATTTTGCTTTAGATAAGCACAAATAAACCTCCTACCACAATCATGAAGCAAGAGAGAAATCACATTAGTAAAGAAAGTGAGTAAGCTGTGCAATGACTGAAGTGTTAACCCCTACTGTACAGAAACTTCTGTCACAAAGGATGTTATTTTATAGTGGATTAAATGCAGCATTACCATAATTGCAGAAAACCCCCTCCCAGCCTTTGTTACAGATGCAGGAAAATTTTCCAATATTGTCCTTGCAGATGCCATTGGAACAAGGCTGTGGCGCACACTGATCTCCATCTGAAAGAGAGGTAGGAAAATCCAGTCCCTGAATCATACAGAGCTCACAGATCAAACATCAACACGAACAGGCCCTCCCCAGATTCCCAAACATCACCCATGTGATGGGTGTTAAGTTTCTGGCACTTAAAGGTGACACCTCCGTGGCACTCACCCAGAGTTCTCACCTACAGCTGGAGAGAGAGTAGGGTGGGCAGAAGGGGAGGAAAGGGCAAAGCCTGAGGCAGACAGGGCAGTGGCAGGTGACTGCAGGGGTGGGGCTCCTCTTTGGCCCACATCAGACAGGGTTAGAGCACCAAAGCACTTTTCACCAATTCCTTAGCTCTGGGGAGATGACTGATGACAGCTACAGGTGCACAGTGTTTTAGGAAGGCTGCTTGTGTGATAGAAGGGGAAAACATTCTTTGCACACCCCATATAGGAGAAAATCTGAATCAGTATGTGACATATGGCAGGAGGAAGGCTGAGTACCAGTTACTCTTGAGGAAGCACAGAGAAGTGATTAGGAAAGTCTTTTACTTACCTACATACTTGCTCCAAAAATTGAGCTGTGGAGAAACAAAATTTATATTATGGTGAGAAAACCATTTTTAACAAGTGAGGGATTTAAAGTGTATCATGGCCTTGGCCAACAGAGAACAGCATCAGAGAACAGTCAACAGCATCAGTCTCATTCTTCTTGACAGTGTAGTGATTGGCACTACAAACCAAGAAAACTGGCCAAATGATCATGTACTGCTTGTACTCAGCACAGATCTCCCCTGTCCTGCTTGCAGACCTACCAACACCAAAGCCCCTCAATATCCCCACTACTTCTCTGTTTTCTTGTCATTTACTGCCAGGTGAGACATCCAAGTTCACTTGTGCCCAGTCAGACAAAGACGTGGGCATTCCAAAGACAGATCCCTCTCCATTCTGGGGTTTGAGAGACAACAAAGACTGGCTCATCTTATGCTGTGAGCTGCTTTGCTCAACATAGTAACAAAGAATCCAAGCTGACAGAACAAGTGTGGAAAAGAGGCAGGAGTCAGTGATGCTGACAATAAAGGTAGCGTCCAATTGAAAATATGAGTTTGGACAAAAAGAGAGAACCTAGTGATGAGAGAAATGTTTGCCATGCCCAACTGGGACACTGGGGAGGTAAAGTGAAAGGCAGCCAGGGCTGGTGAATGGACAACAGAGGGCAAAGACTGGAAGGACCTGGAAAAACTCAGTGGCAGCAAGAATAGCCAGCGGGGTCAAGCAAGGATTGGAATTATCTGGCTGGGCCCTAAACCTCACCATTGGGTCAGGTGAGTAGCCAAGTTTTATGGCCCATACAGGTGGCAACATGACAATCACTGTAACACTGTAACAGAATGACATTCAAAACCATGCCAGCATGGTTTTGAATGTGTGATCAGTGCTGACAGCATGATCTTCTATGCCCTGGATTGCAATATTTTAAGAAAATAATTGATTGGGTAACTCCCACACTCATCCTTAAAAAAACAACTTACTGTTGATTCCTTGGTTTCAAATATCTCACTGGCCTCCTCGAAGTCACAGCGCTCTTCAATGCACTCCCGCTCCACAGAGCCTGGCTTGAGCTCCTCCAGGAAAGAGTTCGCCCGCTTCTGGATCCTCAGGACCTGGTTTGCATCTTCAGTGCTGTAAAATACTGGAAGCAAAAATGTGAAAGCACAAGCAGAGAAAAGAACTGGCTGAAAACTAGTAGTGGTGCTTCCCAAAGGACACTTAGCAGAGCACCAGCCCCTCTCCAGCACAGCAGAGGGGCTGCCCTGGACACCAGAGTCTGTCTGTGCTGTGCTGCAGAAGCTCCAGCTCCTGCCCTGTGCTACTCTTGACAGCTCAGGGGCTCAGGAGGGCTGTGACCAGGCAGCTGTCATGGCCCAGCACTGCCTGTCAGCTCTGCTGGAGGAATTCAAACCCCCTAATAATGGAAATGATTCCAGCCACTCCATCTGACTGACAGAGGAGCAGAAAATGCACGTGCAGCGACTGGGGAAGGGTGAAGGGTCTCTCTAAAATGAAAACTTACTTGAGGTGCCGCAGACCCAAGCAGAGCAGGCAGCCAGCAGCAGCCCGAGGGCGAGGTGCTTCCACATCCTGCAGCAGGAGTCACCTGAGGAGAAGGCAGGTGTGAAGAGGAGCACATTGCCAAGGGACAGCAAGAGCCTGCTGCAGACAGTTCCTACCCAGCCGGCCCAGCCAGTTCCTTCACTGGCCTGTCACAGGCCTGACTCGATGACTCCAGCTCTGGAGCGGCCATTCTGAGTCCCTCCACACCTGTTTGCTCATCCCCTCTAACCCATCAGCAGCTCTCCCAGAACACTTTATGTCTGCCCTGACACTCTCCCCTTGCCACTGGACATTTTTGACAAGCTTCCTGCTCCATTAAAGCAAGCTGTCCTTGGAAATCCTGAAGGATGCAATACTTTTGAAGCACTTACTGCTTTGTTCAGTGGGAATCAGGGTGATCTATTCTTCTGCGATGAGCTCTCCTGGAACTTAGTTAATCCATAACTTCAGATATTTACTCTTTGGAGTGCCATGAAGTTAAACAAACAGTGCTCTGAGGGAGCTTGACAAACAACCTGCACGCAGGGGAAAAGTGAAATAGCTGAGGCACCCACTCTGCCTTTTGAAAATCTGGGGTTTTTTTCTTTAGATTCTCTGGCAAGCAGAAATTGTTATATTTAGTTTGTAAGCATAACCACCCAGTGCTAAGGCCTCTTGAGAGATCCTACCATCTTCTCACAGCATGCAATCATCCGAAAGAGACACATATTGCAATTTTTAAGAGTCCTCCCACTTTACTTTCTCACCCAAGGTTCCCCCCCCCAAAACAGCCAAGGGAACTAATCCCCCTGACACCCACGAGCAGGTACCAGAAGCTCGTACCAGCATGTCACATCTTTTGGTGTACTGGGTTAGCTCTCATCAGCACAAAGTATTCTACTGAATTCTGAATATTAAACATTTAGAGAAAACCCTCAATCCTTTTCAGAAGTTTTCTTGCATTGGAGGTGGGGGGAACCAGCATGTCCCCCTTCTCTGAGAACAGTGTTTACAGCAGCACCTCTGCAAGCTGGGCAGCAGTCACGGAATTACTGAGGTTGGAAAAGACCTCTGAGTCCAACCTGTGACCAATCACCACCTTGTCACCCAAACCAGAGCACTGAGTGTCACATCCAGCCACTCCACCACCTCCCTGGGCAGCCCCTTCCAGTGTCTAATCACTCTTTCTGTGAAGAAATTCTTCCTAATGTTGAGGACAGGGCATTTTCATGCAAATTACCTGTGCAGGTAGGAGTCCTCAGGGGTCCTCTGTCAGGGAAAGTGCCACTGGGGTCCAGTGAAAGGTGGGCCCCCTGCCCTGGGATCTCAGCTCACATCCCCTGACACTGTTCAGGAGAGCACTGAGTGCTTATAAAACTTTTTTTTTTTTTCCATTTCACCTCACAAACTTTCCCATGGGCTTTCTTGAAAACAAGCTCTCTTTAAACGAAGGGTTCACCGTTCAACCACTGGGGACTTGAGCTAAAATAAAGATTGTGGCATCTGAAATCCCAGCTGGGGAAGGTGTGTGCACTGCCAGCTCTGCTGTATGTCCTTCATCCTCAGTTCAGCCATTCCACAAGAAAACTTCCACTGACATTAATGGTAACAGATTTTTGTGGCAATTAAAGTTTATGCAACATACCTGAATACAGGAAACACAGGTAGGACCATATATTACATTTTATTCATATATGTAGCTGACTTTGCCATTTGCTACCACACAGGTTGCACGGGTTTTAATACACTTCTGTCTCTAAGACTTGGTATAGCTTGGAAATTTAGGACACACACATCAACTGCCAATCTAGAAGATTCAAATCTGTGTGTCAGTCTCTTAAAAAATTCTTGCTTTTTTTTAAACCCCTATACTGATACTCAGAAAGAATTTACTTCTTCATCAGCCCTTGTGTTTTGAGGGTTTTATTTTCCTGTTTTCCCATTTCTCCTGCCACTGTAGTGCAGAAATGTGTATTTTAAAAGCCTGCATTTGGGTTATCAGATGATCTTATGACTCCTGGTGCAGGGGATTGAAGAAAAGATACTCTAGGGTACCTCAAGATCTGCCCAGTTTTGCATGCCAGGGAATCATTTCAATCTAAACAATTACAGTGCTGGGCTCTCTGCTTTCTAGTTCACCTTCATTAAAAAAAAGGGATTTTTCTAAGGAGGGCTAGAAAAGGGTAAAGAGGAGAAAGAGGAAACTTCACAAGTGGATGGCAAGACAGAGGCTCCATATAATTTAAATTAACACTGCGGAGAGTTGTGATTCACAGTTGTTACAAACAGCTCTACCAAGGTCTCCCTCTCATCCTGGGTCCTGATTTCTTGCAAGATCTGCAGAAACCCAGTGTTCTGTGAGCCATCATCTCTCTCAATGAACCACCTGAAATGAAACAGTGCAGCCCATGAGTGCAAACCAACCTGCTCCTGGAGAAGGACCAGAAGGCTTAGGCCACCCCTTCCCTGCTCCCAGGAGGAAAAGCCGTAGGCCACAAACGACCTTGTATTTTACCATGAAGGTCACTTGGTCACTGGAACTCTTCAAACAGAAGTTGCTCAAGAACTGCCATAAATCTTTTAGCTGTTATAGCATGAAATGTAACTTTCCACAGTCTCAGAACCTTCTTAGGTTCTTAATTCTCAGAACCTTCTCAGAATTAAACATCTCGAGCTGCTCCAGGCCCAGCTGGGAGGTGCACAGTTATTCATCCCAACCACAGAGCTGCCAAACAAGAAATTTACCTTATGACTCTGCAGCTGCTTTACAGGTGAGAAGTGGCAGGGTTGCCTCTGAACCTGTTAGTTTGCAGAGCTGCCCATTCAGCTGGAGCAGACCTCCTTCTCAAGACACTTTACACTCTATTAAAAAACCCAAATACATAAACCCTCCCTACCCAACACCACCTAGGACAAGGGAAACACCAGAAGAATAAGAATACTTTGTGTTTTTAAAACTCACTGGCACTTCAAGATCTTCACAGTACACCTCTCTTCCCATCCACTCCTGAGATCCATGTGGTAGTTAAGTCAAACCAAGACGATGGCAGCCCTGAGCAGGTCTGACATCTCAGCAATGAGACACTGAGTGGGGCAATGTGTTTTTTGCTATTGGCTTCTGCCACATACTTAAAAAAAAGTCCAAAACAAATTACCTGTATCAGAGAAGTAAGAGTATCTTCTGCCTCTGCTGTTGCTTTCTTTGCATGTTTTCTGTAGTGCCACCTAAAGAAGAGCCTTACATTCAGGTCTGATAGGATTTTTCTTTTCTCCTTATTCCTGCTCTAGGTAACATCGTAATGATCAATTTTACCATTTTCATCTTGCAAGAGTATGTAACATTAGTATGATTTCTCATGTTCCTGTCACATAAAGTCTCTCTCCACACTTCCATTTAACTATCAAGTACAAAGGTGTTTTTCACATAGAAAATATTCACGACCATTATAACTTACTTTCCATCTACTTTGCAACAGTACTGTGGGACTCTACAACCAGTTTAAATTAGCCTGCTGAAGTTTCCTGTCAGCATCTCATGAACACACCAATCTGTATGGACAGAAGAGAAAGTTTATCACAATCAGCTCTACGGACTGCTCACCCAAACACCTCCAAATTCTATCAAGTTTACAGGTGTCCTTTTATGGCATTGAGTTTCTACCGTCCATGAGAAAATTCCCTTCTCCCATATTTTTGTAAATGCACCTTCACTCATTCCAGTCACTGTATACATTGCCTGCAGTACATGGAGTGCTCCCCTCTCACCCTGGCACAGCACCCATGGGAGCTCTGCAAACACTTGAGGTAACAACACACACCCTGCTGTGTTCCCAGCAGGGTCTGCCCCTCGAGCTGGGGGTTTGCAGGCAGCAGAGCTATGAGCAGGATGAGCACCAGCAGAAACACCACATTTAAAACATCTTTTGTTCACTGCAAGATGTAGCTAATGAAAATAAACTACCTGATGTCTTCTACTCCAATTAAACCAGCACAAAAAGCTGCTACAAAACTAATCTACAACACTCCCATTTACTATTTCACTCCTCTCTAAGGAACAGCTCTGAACTTCTGATGCAAGTCAGATAAAGCCACTTGATCACAGCACAGTTTTTTATTAGCTGGTTCCCACCAGATGGGCACAGCAGCCCTCTCACAACAAAATCAGTAACAGAGAATCCTTACTGGAAGCTCAGAAACATGTTTACTTTATATACAAGAAAAACTTATTTACAACAATCAACAGTAAACTATGTACAAAAAAAAATACAAGAGACATTGCCATGGTAGTCACTGTATAAATTAACATAATAAATAGGAGGGAAGCAGGTCCCATTCTTAAGGCACAAAACCTTCTTCCCAAGACTGTACAGGGATTCACTTGCTTCCCTATGCTTTTGACAGGATCACAGGAATGGTGGGGAGACCCCTGAGGAACAACAGTCGGTGGACAATGATATGGACATGCAGTCACTGCTAACAGCTGTAGAAAAGCATCATTTTTCATCCTTTCCTTTTTTTTTCTTTTTACAGTACACACATCTTAAGATACAAAATATTTCTTGTAAACAGTCTTTATAAATCAGGTCGCTAGTATGCACATTTTTAAATAACACTAAAACAATGAACGAAGCTCCATTCGATTTGGGTGCAGAAACATTCCCAGGACTGGCACTGAAGGCCTTGGCAGAGTTGGAAGCCCCCAGGCTCCTGTGCAGCCCAGCCAGGCAGCACCTCTGTACAGCTCCCTCTACTGCAGAGTAGGGGGCAGGAAGATCCCCCCGAGCCAAAACAGACAGGTTGGATCAGCCCTCGGGAAGGGAGCCCAGAGCAGGGCACCGCTGGCAGCTGCTTCAAGCGTCCCTTGAGTCCCCACTGCATGCAACCCCACCTAACCCCAAAGTCATTCCCCAGAATCTGCCATCAAATATCCAGGACCGTGCCAGAGCGAGAGAGAACAGACTGAAACCTCCTCCTAGAAGGAACCCTATGCCCGGCTCACTGCAGCCACTGCCAAGGGGAGGGATGAGGAACAGAAGGTGCCGCGCGGCTCTCCCGGGAGTTGCATTTTTTAAGAGACTAAACACTGTGTGATATGTGCAGTCCTAGCTTCTCTCAAGCTGGTGTTTACCTGAGACTGCTGGACAGTCTCTTTTTTGGCAAAGCAGCAGATTTTAATAATTGTCTTTCCTGAGTTTCTCTCCCACAAAAAAATTATCAGATGCCAGAAGAGGAACTCGGAATAATGTACCCAGGAGTTCAGCTCCCTACTCTGCAGATGGCTCTCACTGATGTTCAACACAAATTGTCTTCATCTATTCACTAAGTCTCTGCAACAGAAATCTGCATTATTCCCAGTGAGACACACAGAGCTATGGCCCTTTTGTGAGATCTATACCTTAACAAATATTCAAAGGCACTCAGGTTAAATGTGGATCCCATTTTCTAGCTCTTAAAAGAAGGTAAACTCCCTCCCTGCCTCTGATAAGCAACAGACAGGAATATACTGGCTCTCAACCCTTTGAAAAACGTGCATGCACACAAAAAGGATCTGAAGGCATTGG